TGATTAAAGCTGAATTTTCAGCATCATTACTCCAGTCTTCAGTGTCACATGATCCTTCAGAAATAAATAAATAAATAAAAATCTTATCAATGTTGTTGCATTTGTTTTTTGTTTTTGAGCAGCAAATCAGCACATTAGAATGATTTCTGAGGGATCATGTGACACTGAAGACTGGAGGAATGATGCTGAAAATTCAGCATCACTTTACACTTTAACATATATTCACATAGAAAACAGTAAAAAATATTTCACATTATTACTGTTTTTTTTTCTTTTTTTAACAAAATAAATGCAGCCTGGGCGAACAGAAGAGACTTCTTTCAAAAAATAAAAATCTTAATTATTCCAAACTTTTGATTGGTAATGTATTTGTGAATTGTCATGTATTTGTATGTAAATAGATGCATGTGCAACAACAGAGGGTGTGAACAAAATATATTGAAAGCACTGACTTCATTGATTCGTCATTACATAATTGCCGTTAATAACTGCTTTATAGACTGCCTACGCATGTTAATGGCAACTGCTGTATCATAAGCTCAAACAGCTCCCCTCTGACGATCTCCCTGCTGTAAACCATGCTCTTCATTAACATTTATTTCTAATTAGAGATAGGATACACGCACTTCCCCTAAGGCGACCAAAAAATAAATAAAAAAAGTGTTAGACTGCTGTTTTCAAATCTAATTTTAAATTGCTTCACGAGTTTTCTTAAATTTAAAATACTCACCTAAAGCATTTGAGTGAATAGCACGAAACCATATCTGTCACATTACATCCCACAAAATTCCTATAAATAAACAGATATTTTACTTTTAAATATTCTGTTTTATATATTTAAAACTACCTGGCAGTTTAATGCCTACAAAAACGGCTGGTAGGGACTACAACGAGTTCCTTCCCGGGTTCGTGACATGACAAACCCAGATAAACCCCGCCCTCGGGAAAAGGCAGCAAAGGGGGCGAGGCCATGAGAAGAGGAAGAGAAGAGGAAGAGAAGACTAGAGGTGCATGTAAAAATCTGTTCATATATGAATCGTGATTCTGTCTTCTACCGATTCTAATGGATTCACAACTTTCAAAATCAATGTTCTAAAGCAGCGGTTCTTAATCCTGTTCCTCACGTCGCCCTGCTCTGGGTTTAGCCAATCACAACACACTGGGTTAGCTAACCAATCAGAGCCTATCACCTATTTCTGAGGGAGGGGCTTCATAAAAGAAGGAAATTATCAGCGTGTTTCTCAGAGAAGGGACAGAGCAGTGTGGAATAAAGGTAAATTATGTGAAAAATAATGTTTTTTTAAAACTGCACCCCATAAACACAGTCAAGCCTAGAAAAAAACAGTGAACCACCCCTTTAAATTCATCAAAAGTTACAGTAACATTTGTTACAAAATGTTTCTATTAAAAAATAAAACTATTCATCAAAGCATCCAAAAAACATTTCCATAAACGTATGAAGCTGTCAAATTGTTTTCAACATAAATAATAATAATAATAGCTTCTTGAGCAGCAAATCAGCACACTAGAATGATTTCTCATTCTAATATGCAGTCCAATATTGATTCTCAAGGATTGTGCGACACTTAAGACTGGAATAATGATGCTGAAAATTCAGCTTTGATTACAGGAATAAATCATATTTTAGAATATATTCACATAAAAATCAGTCCTTTTAAATTGTAATAATATTTCACAATATTACAGTTTTTACTGTATTTTTTAATCAAATAAATGCAGCCTTGGTGAACATAAGACACTTCTTTTAAAATTTGACTGACCCAAACTTTTGAACAGTAGTATGTATATTATTACAGTGTGCAACATGTTCTCGATACGTTTTGGGAGATTCACCCATCTGCAATAAGAGCGAACAATGTTTAGTCACGTCTGTACCGGGCAGCTCTGCCTGTTCTATTGTGCCTGCTTCATGCTTTAAAAATACACTGGCAATCTCATTGGGATAAAACAGTCGACGATTGTTCCTGGGAGATTCCTGCTCTTGTCTCAGTCTTAACCGAGTTGGATTTGCGAGACAGGGCCATAAGCTCCTGACAGCGGTGAGCAGCTTTCTTTGTAGTCGTGTAACAATTCCTAAAGCGATACGGTAGGTATGTCACGGATACATCATGTGACGCCAAAAACCACATGGCCACCTGCTCGCTTGACAGAATGCAAAGTGGCTCAGCCGACTTCATCCAGCAGGCTTTTCGGGTCCCTGCTGATGTTGCGGTCGCACCATATCCTGCCAACTTTACTAGGTCTCCACTGGTGCACATGTATGGATCTGAGGGTTTACAGGAGTTGATTTGGATCTCAGATGTTTGGATCCTGAGATTCTGGAAGGGTGATAAACAAGAGCGTGAGCCTATACGTCCATTTCGTTCATAAATATACAAAAAGATATGCATAATTGTAATTCCTTAGAGGTCTAAGCTGGACTAATGGATTGCAGGCACTGTGTCACTAATGGCTGAACTCTCGTTCATGTGTGTTCTTACCAAAGGTCCATAAAGACGAAGAAAACGACAGCAGATCCGGTCGACTCCTCGGGCCGGCTGAGAGGCATGTGGGGCCATGTTTCATTGATTTTCATCGCTTTAATGGATTTCATTGGGCCCTCTCATGATTCCACATTAATATTTCATTACTTGTGTCTTCCATTTCCTGCGCTATAACAGCAGCAGGCTAGCTTACAGTGAAGTGCTTTGGGTTGATGGACTGCTACCAGGAACCAGCCAAATCCCTGAAACACCCGATCCTCGTCTACACCCAAGGGACCAAACTCGTGATTCGAAACAACAAAAAGGGCAAAAAAAAGAATTGGTTGAAGACATTAGCCAACAGCGTACGAAAACAACCCTGATCAGCTTTTCTGTCAAACGATCCCTGCTGCTCCTGAAAGCTATATGTGTCCTTTTTAGATAGGAAAATCAACAACGCAGTTGTGTTTAATATTATATTATTGGGTTGAGGTGAATTGCGGACGGTAATGTATTTGAGTGCAATAGCGCAAACTAAAGCGATCAGACATAGCCTATACAGGTCAGATGAGCTGCTGGCTCAGCACACCATGCAAAGACGCTTTTCTTAAAAATCCTTTCAAGTGCTGCTTCAAAGGATCCATCAATGTCAGCAAAGTAAAAAAAATATATAAAACAGCAAAATGCTGAAAATTGAGTTCAACTAAAACGCCTTAAAAAAATTAAGAGCTTTAAAAAAGGTTAAAAGACATCTTATGCATGTTTAATTTGGAATTATACATAAAAACTATTTACATTAACATCTATAATTCACCTTTAACCAGTAATATGTCATAATGAAAACGAAGAAAATTTTTAATATTTTGGACAACCATTAAAATACTAATATATATATATATATATATGCTGAAATGATCACATATGCAAGTTAATGCGGGTATGTGAATTGGTAGTGAAATCTGTGTAATATTTAATATTTCAATGTAGATTACCTTGCTGTCCTGCTTACATTAAATATTTGATAACTTCAGATATATTGTGAATTTAAAATACATTTGTTAGATTTACAAGACACCCTATTTGCCTCAATTAGACATTTGACTGATTATCATTAAGTCATAATTATACTTCAAGCCAAAATCGTAGCATAGCTAAGAGTCAAATATAAATAGAATCCGGTCACCACATATTAACTCAAAGTTCACTTATAACAGTTCTCCAACAGCAGATATCAGCGGACTGCTCAGATTACACCAGTTGTTGACAAGTACAAACACAAAAAACTTTAAAAATGGCCAATTTCTAGGAATTGCCCTTCACCTTGAAAGCAGGCGGTCCAGTCAATTAAGTAACTCTAAAGCCTTTCTGCACAGATAGTTGGTCAGCAGGAAAGCGTTGGGAGATCTGTCAGGATTCGACAGACAGGACTGCCGTGGCTTGATCAGTTTCGATTCTCTCATTCAGACATTGAGAAATGTGCTAATTAAGTGTTAGTCTGAAGAACAATGCGTTATAAATAATTAACAAGTTTCTGAAAACAATAATGCTGGTTAATTTTCCAGCATCATGTAGATCTATATTAAACAGCATAAATACCACAAACAACCTAATTTACATACTGGCATAGGGTGAAACTAAATGAAGACTGCATTCACGTCGGTTAAATGCAGCAACAATGTCTCAGCAAGCGTTTAATATGCACTGCACTGACTTGTTTTCCCTCAAGCACCTTCCCACAGCAGGAACTCGCATGTTTCATGTTGAGTTAAGGTTGTTTTTCTTTGACCACACTGCCACCTAGTGGTTATTCTAAGCTTCTTCACAGTCAAGCCTCATTTGAACTCTGTAATCTTTTTTTTTTAAAGATGGATGTGGTTGCCTGGTTACCACTTTAATCTTCAACTTGTTTTGTAGGGAGGACTGAGATGGAAAGGTAACTATGGAGACAGGATTTATGCTCAGCCATACAAAATCATGACATTGATTTGAACACAATGCAGTTTGGCAAATAATGATGGATGTATATCAGGTAAACAAGCACATGTAATGTTTACTTTTTTTATATGCCATACATGTTTCGCATACAGACAGAAAAAAAAGACTTCTAGAAAAAAAGTATTACAAAAAAGGAGTGATAACAGAGGGTAAAACAACATGATTAAAAACAAACAATTACTGTTCAGTGCAAAGGGTTGTAGTGTTGGCGAGTGGACTTTTAAACCCCATCAAGTAAAATCTGAAAATAACACTTGTTTCAGGTTCATACGTTATTATGAGTTTCAAATCACTGGATATTTTTGAAAACCTTTAGAATAGCACTTGTTTCAAACGTGTTGGCTCAATGGGTTACAATGATTTAGCAAATAGTCATTCCAGTGGAGGGCAGTCGAAAAACAGCTTAAAATGACATTCCTGCGTACAAACAAACAGTCACACAAGTTTAAACCATAGTGTTTGTAACGTTTACAAACATTAGTGCGTCTGGATCGGTACAGTACTCGTTCAGTAAGTTAGGTATGGTCACATGACCTTTCTGTTAGTGCTGCAGGTGCATATTTATAACAATATACATAAAAATGCAGTGGCCTCAAAGACTAACTTCATTTTTTCTAGCTTACCTGATGTTACATGGTTAAAGAGGTAGATGCCGTCAGTCATGACACAAACGCCTCACCTGAACTGAACATACTGCCATGTCAAGTACTGTTTTATTTCTGAAAAACAAAATAAAACATCTAGGGTTTGTGAAACGGACAGCGGACGTAATAATGGAGGGAAGAACGGTTACTGAATGTGTTACGGAGTAAAAAGCCACTAATAAATTATTATACATGAATTCCAGACAAACAGACCTTAATGATGAAACGAGTGTAAAAACATTTTTAAAGTGAATTGAATGCGACAGTTCAATGATGAATGGATTTGTGAAAAAATTCACACAGATTTGAGTTTTAAAAGTGAGGCCCAGTACATTTTACGTCCATTATAGTGAACCACTGGAAGGAGACATCAGTCAAATTGCTTGTGCATGCAATAATATAAAACATTTTAAATAGAATAAAATGGAAAATTTTTAACACTTCTGAAAGAAATTTAAAACGCCTTGACGGAAAACTCGTTGGCAAGTTTATAAAACTACTTTTCTGGGGATGCTATATAATTCCCAAAACGTTTTAAGGAAACGCTGATCAAGTGGACTGTGTGAGAGTATTAAAGTAAAAAGGTACATCTATCCTAAAATCATAAAAGGCATAAAATCTGTTTGGAACGTTCTAGAGTTGGAACTGAAGTGTTAAGGTGAGTCTCTAACAACCACGATAACCAGGTGCTCCTCCTCAAGTTTCCCAAGAGTTTTCAGAGCAGCCTGGAGATACTGCTGCGAGAAGTCACATGGAGGGAAGGCGTACAACATGCCACCCATCTCTCGTTCTTTGGGGCCGCCGAGGGGCAAGCCGATGACTCCTGCTGCCTGCTTGTTCCTGAGGTACGTCACCAGGTTGCGGAGAAGGCGCTGTTGAAGGCCCGGTTCTGGAAGAGGGGCATCTCGGTCCATGGGCCCCTGGACGGCGAGGAGGACAGCGTAGCCGTCCGGGCTGCCTATCTTGATGCGCCGCGTCACCTCGTCTAGTTTGGGCTGATCCAACCTCAGCCGCTGAGCGATTTTAAGCTGTGTGATCTTGGAACCGCCTGCTTGGTTGTCTCTCATGAGGGCATGGAGAAAGTTCACGCCTCCCTCGAGCATGTGCATGTTTGTGGGGAAGCAGCTGTTTTTAAGAACGAGAGAACCGTGCCACACGCGACTCAAGGTCTGGGCGTATTCGAAGAGCGTGCTGGGCTTTTTGGAGTCCGTTTTGGACTTGTCTGTCTGCGAGTCAGGGTCGCTCGCATTTTTGCGGTGATTGCGATCACGCTCGTCCTTTCTTGGATGTAAAGGTTCATCCTGCGCAGGACGTTTGTCGCTGGAGTGTCTGCTGATGTCGGGGGTGTGATCAAGAGGTTCTGAGGTGGAGTCCGGGAGACGGCCGCAGCCCCTGTCCGGGCTGTCTTCGGGAGTAGACGGCACCCCGCCTCTGAGCTTTGACCTCCCGCGTTCCTCTGCCGGACGATCGATGGGACTGAGGCTCCTTCGCTTGCGCCGCTCCTCCCAGTTTTTCCCACGTTCTAGCTCTCGCTCCTTTACCCAGCGCTCCCTGCTGCGGCTACGACTGCGCTGCCTGACCCGCCCAAACGCCTCCGGAGGGTTTGCTCGCCGCTCAAGTCCTTTCAGCGGACTCCAGTCCTGGTCCGAAAGGCGCTCTCTTTCTTGCTCTGCAGACAGGGGGTGTGACGGTGACCGAGCCCTCGCTCTCAGTTCTCTCTCTAGGCTGTGGTGGCGTCCGTAACCATCAGCTAGAAGTTCGTAATGTGGAGGCGGGAGCAAAGGCGGCTGGTATTGTTGAGGGTACACCCTCGTCTCTTCAGCTTTAGCAAAATCCACACGCAGCCGACGATTCGGACCGCCCAGAGGGAAGCCGCGCATTTGCGCACAAGCAGCCTGTGCTGCATCCAGACTCTCGTAATGAATGTAAGCAAAATTATCTCCTTTCACGTAGTCTATAGTGCGAATACTCCCAAAGCGATCAAACTCGCGGGCTAAAGCTGCCAGCGAGATATTCGGGCCAAGTCCGCCCACCCAGAGCCGAGTCGTTGGATTGGCCTTCCCGTATCCGATCTTAATCGGGTTGCCGTTAATCATACGTCCCTGCATGGCCACTTTGGCCCGGTGAGCCATATCCAAGTTTTGAAATTTAAGAAAAGCATACGCGCCCCCTTGTCCACGGGCGGGCCGCTTGATAACGACCTCCTCAATAATCCCATACTTGTCAAATCCTTGTCGTAGTTCCACCTCAGAAATATTATGATCCAAGTTGCCGATGAACAAATTCCTTGTGGCTCTCTGATCATCCTCTGGTTTTAAGTTCTCCTCAGGAAGCTGATACGCATACGCACGGCTTCTCTCCTCCAAAGTGCTGTAATAGTCCAAAACACGATCCCTGCTGAGTCCCATACCATCAATGTAATGCCTGGGTCTCATATCTCGAAGGGCACTACTCCCAGCGCCCGGTGAAAGAGACCGCTGCCTGTAAGTGTAGGCAGCACTGTGCAGAGACACATAACTCACATCTGGAGGCGTGACACTGCGACGCCGCATGTACATGGGCTCAACTTTGAGTGGACGATCATATAGCACCAATCTGGTTTTGGCATGACGCGCTTCCCGCGCGGTTTCCGTGTGTCTGAAGTTGACGTAGGCAACGCGCCCCAGTTCTGGCGTGTGAGACAGCTTGACGCTCACGTCCCCGAACTTTTTAAACTCATGAAACAGTCCGTCCTCTACATGCTCATCAGAAAGCTGCGATCCAAGGTTGCTGATAAGTAGTGTCTTGTATTCTAGTCGCGCTCCCACCGAGCTCGGCTCTCCGCGAGCAGCAGTGCGAGCTGCGGGTTCGGTTCGCGCTCTCGGTCCCGCTCGCGGACGCGTTTGGTGAGCGTTCTGGGCGGACTCGCGTCGCGCTCGGCCTGCCGCTTCATCTTACAGTGATGCTCTCTCCAAAAAAAATATAAAATCAGCTCCGAGGTGAAATCTCACGGCTCCAAGAGATTTTGCACATCCGTAAGGAGAGTCTTAACTAACGTTTGCACGGGAAAACGTTCGCCTGAATGTTGAATTTCACGGATAAAAATAAAACGACAAACATCAGCGTCCCCTCAGCTGCATCTATTCCGCCATCTTGGACAAAAGGAATGTGCGCGCTCCGCGAGTGGGAGGAGACTCTGCTGACGTCAGAACGCATCGCGTGACGCTATCATAGTTGTGGGAAATACATTTTTTATTTATTTTATTTTATTTTATTTATTTTTTAGTTCCATTACATGCAAGTCAAATATAAGACATTGTTGTACAGTTTAAAGGATGTGAAACAGAATAACAACAACAAAAAACATAAAAAGACCATAAACATTAAAAAAAAACTAGGAAAAAAAGTGCTATAATATTATGGCAGTTACATAAATTTGAAAAGCTTTAGAAGTTTTATTGTTTTTATAAGCTTCTTATTTTGCGATCTCATATCAGAAAGCGTTTTTCAAAATATATTTTAAGATCAGTGTTACAAAAGGTAATATATCTTTTGAATTATTTTTGACTTCGGAGTATAAAACACTGCTAAACTAATTAACAGATTAATATTGTAATTTCGTTTTTTTTTCAGAAAAATATGTGTTTTGAAAACACAGTAAAATATCATGAGGTTCTAAATTAAAGGGCTTTATTTAATGTTTGTGTTATGTCTATTTTAAAGACAACCCAAAATGAAATAGAAAAAGGGCAATAGAAAAATAAATGTTCAATATCTTCAACTGATATGCTAGAAAAGGTACATTTTTCACAAACACTATGAATATATCTGCTAACAGCTGCATTTACAGGATAACATCTGTGAATAATGTGGAAAAATCAGTATCGACACTAAAAATGAAGTTCTAAGAGCGAAATGCATATACTCTTTTCATAAGAATCAAATTCTGCAGTTCTCATTCACAACAAGCTGAGAAAAACAGCTTTGTTTGGAATGGATTACTATCCTAGTACTGCATAATAGGAAGGTATTCGTTTAAATTGTGAAATTAAATTATGTAAAATAATAAACATATTTTTCCAAATGTAGTAGGTTCTCTATGAATACAGAAAATGCACATATCATGTACAGTATACTGCATAAAACATAGCCAATACATTATGATACAACTATAATGAAATTTGACAAAATGTGACCAAGGTGAAGAAGGTACAATGTTAAACACAAACAGAAAACTAATAAACTAAAAAAAAAGGACAAGACCAATTTATTTTCTTCTTTTAATGAAAAAGACAGTATAACCGTATTAAACATTTTACAGCAAATTCCTCTCAAACTGACCCACACATTTTTGAAGATGAGACTCTTGTTCATTAGATTTCATATAATGAGTCAACTAAGAAAGTCTACACTCAAAAAAAGAATAGAAAATGTAAATCAAACTAGGCAAAGTGTGTCAAGCATTATTTCCTATAACGTCAGGAGGCAAACCTAGGTTGTGTTGGATATGAGTCAGAACTAACACATTGAAAATTATAAATTAAAGGTTGTATTTTCAAGGAAGTGTGTGCGTTCAGTTCTTGATGTTTACCCCTGGAGTACAAGGTAAAACGACAACACAATGCAAACCCCGTTGTTAGGTGGTCAGTCAGCTGCACAGCGCAAATCTTCCACCCTAAATACTGCTGCCTTGGTCTCATAATTCCCTGCAGGTTTACAAATCTGTCCTTGCCTTGGCTGCGTTAGGCGCATACTTGGGCATTAGCTCATTGATCTTGCGGATGAAGTCAGATTTCTCCACGCATCCTTTGCAGGATTCGCCCCATTCCTCCAAAATTTTCTTCAGATCTTTCACTTTCAACTTCTTCAGGTCGACGGAGCTCAAGTCAACTTGTTTATCTAAAAGAAGACAAAAAAAATGGCTGGCAGTTCTGTCACTAATGGATTTCAAACCCAATGAATTTAGATATTTCAAATATTAATAAATAAATCGCATTACAAATTAAAAAACGAAAAAGTAAATGAAAAAATAAATTAAATGAAGAAAAAAAAGAAAGTCAATTTAAAATAGAGTGGATATAACTCAATATATCGACCAGGGGGGCGTTTCCCAAAAGCATCGTTAGCTAACTATGGTAGTTAGTTCCATTGAAATCTATTGGTAACGACGGAACTTGTGACCATAGTTGCTTTTGGGAAACGCACCCCAGAGCGATTAATTAGTCATCTTAGATTGGGCAGGATGCTTAAACAAACAAAACAATGGATACGATATGTTTACACATTCATATTGGTCAACCACTAGACAGACACGATGAATTAATCAGTGGAAACTTATTTTCTATGCAAACAAACTTTTCAACTTACCATATTTCAGTTCACAGATCTGACTGTCCTTCTTTTTGAGCTTTTCACAAATCTTTTCCACTGGCACATGGTAACTCATCGGTTTGGAAACTTCATTGATTATTTTTGTTGCTGCATCACTTGTTGCCCCTATATAATAACACTGCACATACAGAAAACATATTAAAAGTATAAACAAGCATGTAAGATAAAAGGAATAGTAAAGCCAAAAATGAACATTTGCTGAAAATGCACTCAGCCTCGGGCATCCAAGAGTTTGTTTCTTCATGAGAACAGATGTAGCATTAGATCAGTCTCATCAATGGATGCTCTGCAGTGAATGGGTGCCATCAGAACGAGAGTCCAAACAGCTGAGAAAAACATCACAGTAATCCACACCACTCTAGTCTATCAGTTAACGTCTTGTGAAGTGAAAATCAGTGTGTTTGTAAGAAAGAAATTTATCATTAAGACGTTTTTAACTTCAAATTGTTGCTTCAGGCTAAAATACTCTATCCATAATATTGCTTTCTCCAGTGAAAAATTTGTCTTGTCTGAATTGGGAGAGAAATCTGCACAGATCAAGCACCGTTTACTAGCAAAAACAGTCCAAAACATTTCTAAACAAATATGTGTGTGGGTTTTGATGTGAGAGACAACAGGAGATGGACTTTTTCACTGGAGGAAGCGTTATTGTGGGTTATGGACAGAAGTATTGTGGCCAGAAGTGAAGGTTTGAAGTCACAACGCCTTAATAATGGATTTGTTATAAACTAAATGATGGAATTCTTATAAACTGGAGTGGTGTGGATTACTTGTGGATTATTGTGATGTTTTTATCAGCTGTTTGGACTCTCATTCTGACGGCACCCATTCACTGCAGAGCATCCATTGCTGAGACACTGATGCAATGCTACATTTCTCCAAATCTGATGAAGAAACAAACTCATCGACATCTTGGATGGCCTAAGGGTGAATAAATTCAGCAAATTTTCATTTTTGGGTGAACTGTTCCTTCAAACACACACACACACATTTAATTTCTACACAATAAGACTTACAAATCGGTTTTCTTTTCCTTTGGCCTCTTTGCATGATTTTAGAAGAGCTTTTTCGATGGAGTCATTGTCGAACTTGATGTCATTGTCTTGTAGCGTCTGGTAAAACCGTTCCAGGAAACCCACACAGACTGCAATGCAAAAATCATACACAAAGAACTCAAATTTGTCACATTAATGAAATGTATAGGAGTATACCAGTCGATTATCCCTTTACTGACTACTTCATAAATAGAAGAATAAGAAATTATGACCACGGTTCAATTGAACGGGTGTGCCATATAGATATGATGAAGTGCTTGTTTACATAGACTTCTGATAATGACCTGCATTATGTAATCAACTACTTACAGTATATGATATGATATTTACTGAAAACAATAGAAAGTAGTGGCCAGGTAACCTAAATTACAAAATTACACAAATAAATGCCTTATAAAACACTTTATAATATATTGCATTTACAATTTTGCATATATTATTATTATAAACATACAATATTACAATGTATTATAAAATACGTTTAGCCTAACAGCACCTTAAAACCTAAAGCCTTAAAATATATATATATATATATATATATATATATATATATATTATGATGCAGTAATTTTAGTAGTTTAAGGTAACACATGAAATACACCTAATGAACTAAATATCCAGCATAAACTAAAGAAGATGAATAAAAGGCAGATGTGAGATGCTCTTGACAGGAAATGCTAGTCCTGCACATGTTTATACTAAGAACATATGAACCAAACTCACCTTCACACTCTCCATCCTTCAAAGCTTCAGTGCAGCTCGGCAGCAGCGCCAGGGCCAGTGCCACAGAAAGCCCACTCAAATATATCATCCTCAAACCAAACAAACGCGTGTAACTACTTAAATAGTCTATGAAAAAGTGCTGAACTAGGTTTTGAACGATCATTAAAGATACCGGCTCGACAACACGCAATGTACCGATTCAACAGCGCTTCCTATTGAAAGGTCCCGCCCACTCTCCCATCTGATTGGTTGCCGGTCCACTCTTCGCGCGTCTATTGGCTGGCTCGTGACGTCGCAACACGCATTCTTTTCCGATTGGATGTGCGGCGTTTATCCAGGGAGTGAGTCCAGTTGGCGGCCTGTGAATGGTTATGAAGGAGAATTCTCTTGTTGACGATTTAGGGCTTGATGATGTGTCAGTTGCACCAGCGCCATGTTTGTAGTTCTTTGTCATCCGTTGACGTTATTGCATAAGTTAACAAATCATTCCAGTGAGCAAAACTAGCTATTAATGTTTATATTAGTAAGAAAGAAGACCATTTTGGCCAGACTTGACTGTGACATTTCCCTCACATTACAAGTACTGTGCTGTGAGAAGGCAATACCATGGTATGTTGGTTTCAAACACCTGAATTCAACTCCAAAATCGTTATATGTTTGC